TGGGAATTGAACTCAGGACCTTGCACTTGCCAGGCAGGTGCCTGTGCCACTGAGCTATATCCCTGGCCCAAGGGGAGACAATTTTACAAACCAATAATAGGAGACAACTGTTTAACAGTTCTGGGCTTAAGATTGTCTTTAGCACTTTATAGGTAGTTAAGTCTTTAAAATAAAACTACAGTTAAATTATGTACATTGTGTGCATGAAGACAGCGTGGCTCAGAAAAATTTAATAATTTACTGAAGTTCACAGAGCAGCAGTGCTGGATTATGTACCTAGATATGTCTACTCCAAAGCCTGCAAACATACACACTTACTTACCATGTTATGTTTCCTATAATTTAAAGTATATATATATTTTTTAAGTATTGAGGATTAAATCCAGGGCCTTTTCACTGAGCTACCCCGCCAGGCCTTTTAAAAATTTTTAAATTTTGAGGTGGTCTCAGTAAGTTGCCCAGGCTGGGCTCAAACTCTAGATCCTTCTGCCTCAGTCTTCTTGTGAGTGTGCTTGAGATTACAGGTATGTGCTACCATGCCTGGCTTTTTGTTTATTTTGTTTTCAAGTTTTTCTTTGTTTTCCTTTGGCATCACTTGTCATGATGAAAGCTTTTCATTCTACTAATATGCTTGAGAGTAGGAGGCTAAAAATCTCATTGGGAGCTCTGTATGTGTATATGGAAATTTTGTCATTTAGCTGCATATGTTCCCTTAATGTCCCTATTTTTGACATTGTTTTCCAACCATTAGCCATGCCCCAGTAGCTTTCATTACAGAAATGCTGATTGAAGACTTCACTATAATACAGGGTTAGCTGGTGGACTGTTCAGAAGATGTCTATGACAAGACTTTTTTTTTTTTTTTTTTTGTCTTTATGAGACAGGGTCTCACTATGTAGTTCAGGCTGACCTTGAACCCACTCTGTAGCCAGGCTGGCCTCGAACTCAGACATTCCTCTGGCCTCAGCCTCCTGAGTGCTAGGATTACAGGTGTACATCATCTTGGCTGGCTGATTTCCCAATTTTTTGACAGTTTGCCAGCTTTTAGCTGTGCATAGTGTTTTCTATTCCAGAGATGCTCTCTTGTACCTTTTCTAGAAGAACCTTCTTGTGTGAAGAAAGTAGGGTACTTGTTAAGCAGCTTTTAACCAATTCTGTTCATATGTCTGAACTTTACTTCCAGAATTATCTGACATCTCACTTAAGAATACTACAGTTCATATAAACCATTTTGGTTCTTTGCTTTTCAGTATACCAGCACAGGAGTCAGCTTTCTTGGGTGTGCTGTCAATTAGCATTGGTCCATCTGCTTTCCAGTTTCCTGAAGTTCTGCTTGCTGTTGTCTGTACATCTGTTTTTCCTGACCTTAGCTTTTTTTTTTTTTTTTTCTTTTTTGTCTTTTTGAGACAGTGTCTCATTATGCAGTTCAGGCTGGCCTTGAGCTCACTTTGTAGCCCAGGCTGGTCTCAAACTCAGTGATCCTTCTGCCTCAGAGTGCTGGGATTACAGGCATGTGCCGCCACACCCAGCCTATATTACAGTATTGTAATAATTTATTATATGAATATTTTTGGTTTGTGGGATGAGTCATCTGAGTTCCATTTCTTAAGGGAAAATTCACTTTGATGTACAAGTGCTTTGGATTATGGGTATATTTCTAGAATGAAATATGCTCACAGGGGCTGGGGATTTAGCTCAGCGGCACAGCATGTGCCTGGTAAGCACGAGGTCGTGAGTTTGATTCCGGGTACTGGAAGAAAAACAAAAAAATTTTTTAAAAATTAAAAAAAAGAAATATGCTCACAAACCAAGGTTTTTTTTAACCAAGATTACTGTACTTACAAAACCAATGGACAGATTTAATGCAGTTCTAATCAGAATACTAGTAGTGGGTTGGGGATATAGCTCAGTGGTGCAGCACCTGCCTGGTAAGTGCAAGGTCCTGTGTTCAATTTCTGATACCAAAGAAAAAAATGAAAACTAGTAGTATTCCTTAGTGATCTAGAGAAAACAATCCAAAAAATCATATAGAAACACAAGAGACCCAGAATAGCAAAAAACATTCTGGATAACAGTAGCAAAGCAGGAAGCATCACTATCCCAGATTTGAAACTATATTACAAAGCTACAGTAATAAAAATAGCATGCTACTGACACAAAAACAGAAATATGGACCAGTGGAACAGAATAGTAGAAGGAGAAACAACCCCAGACACATTCAGCTATCTGATCTTTGACAAAGGGGCCAAAAACATACACTAGAGAAATGATACCCTCTTTAATAGATGGTATTGGGAAAATTTGGATAGCCATATGCAGGAGGTTGATTCTAGATCCATATATCTCACCATTTACTACACTAAAATCAAAATAGATCAAAGGTCTAAATGTTAAAACAGAAACACAGTCTGCTGGAATATAAAATAGGTAAAATTCTTGAAGACATAGATATAAGCAAGGACTTTCTACACAGAACCCCAGTGGCAAGAAACAATACCAGTAATCAAATGGAATTATACCAAATTAAAAACCTTGTGTATATCAAAGGAAACAACTGAGTGAAAAGACCAGCTACAGAATGAGAAAAAAATTTTGCCAGCTATTTCTCATACAGGACTAACATCTAGAATACAGTATATAAAGAACTCAGAAAAATTTAACCCTCCCAGAATAAAAGACCCAGGCAAAAAATGGGCAGCTGAAATGAACAGACATTTCTCAGAAGTATAAATGACCACTAAATACATGAAAAAATGTTCAGCCTCACTGGCCATTAGAGAGATGCAATTTAAAACAACACTAAGATGCCATCTTACTTCAGAAGGAATGGCTATCATTGAGAAGTAAAATAACAAATGTGTTGGCAAGGCTGCAGGGGGAAAAGGAACCTTTCTACATTGTTGGTGAGAATGTAAACTACATCAACCACTATGGAGATCAGCATGGAGATTTCTGAGAAAAGTAAAACTAGAAATTCTATTTGACCCGGCTATTCCCCTTCCCAATGTCTTCCCCTGCAAGTTAAAGACATCATATTACAGTGATACATGCATGTCTGTGTTTATAAGAGTATAATTTATAATAGCTAAATCTTAGAAAGAGCCTATATGCCTGTGTATAGATGAATGGATAAAGAAAATGTGGTATTTATATACATTAGTCTTGCTCTGCCATAAAGGATAAATGTGAGTCATTTGTAGGTAAATGGATGCACCGCAAGACTACGGTATTAAGTGAAATAAGTCAGACACACAAGTTTAAATATCATGGGTTTTCTTAAATGAGAAACCCAACATTTTAAAGCAAAATAAAAGTTAATGGGGGAGCTGGGGATTTAACTCATCGGCACAGCGCCTGCCTGGCGCTGGATTATGTACCTCGATATGTCTACTCCAAAGCCTGTAAACATACACACTTACTTACCATATTATGTTTCCTATAATTTAAAGTATATATATATTTTTTAAGTATTGAGGATTAAATCCAGGGCCTTTTCACTGAGCTACCCCGCCAGGCCTTTTAAAAATTTTTAAATTTTGAGGTGGTCTCAGTAAGTTGCCCAGGCTGGGCTCAAACTCTAGATCCTTCTGCCTCAGTCTTCTTGTGAGTGTGCTTGAGATTATAGGTCATGAGTTCGATTCCCAGTACCGGAAAAAAACCCCAAAAAAACAAAAACAAAAGGTAATGGAAATTAGAGATATATTCTTAAAGTGGTAAGGGAAACTAGATGAGAGAGGGAGAAGGGAAGAAATGGAGAAAGGATAAAGAGCATTGAAGAAAAAAATGAAAACAGAGCTTTTGCAAATGTAAAGGTGGACAAGAATTGGAGGGAACAAGGAGGGATGGGCAGGGAAGTAGACCAGAAAAGAATTAAGATATGTTATGTACATGTACAAACTCCCCATAATAAATGTAACCTTCAAATATGTATAATTAAAAAAGTGAAAAAAATACAGCCGTTAGAGGCGGCAATGAACGGATTGCTGGTGGAATGGTAAGAAGTTGTTGGATTCTACATGTATTTTTGCAAATAGAGGCACAATTTGCTGACAGATTTAAAGTAAAAATGTAAAAGAAAGGAGTCAAAGAATGACTCCAAGGGTTTGGTTTTTTTTTTTTTTTTTTAATTGGAGCTTCTGGAAGGATGGAGTTGACATCTACTACATGTGATTGCCTGCAAATCGAAGTTTGTAGGGAAGATGAGATGTTTAGTTTTAGATATGGAGTATCTTTTATATACTCAAGTGGAGTTGTTTTGATTTTAGGAGTGAGGTCTAGGCTAAAGATACAAAGTTAATTGGGCCGGGCATAGTGGCTCACACCTGTAATTGCAGCACTCAGAGGCTGAGGCAGGAGGATCACTGTGAGTTCGAGGCCAGCCTGGGCTACAAAGTAAGTTCAAGGCCGGCCTGAACTGCAGAGCAAGACCTTGTCTCAAAAAGACCAAAAAAATAAAAATAAAAATAAATTGGGAATATTGTTATGTAGAAGCTATTTAAAAACCATTAAGCTCCAGTGATGTGTTTGTTTTTGTTTTTTTGGTACCCGGAATCGAACTCACGACCTCAGGCTTGCCAGGCAAGCACTTATGCCACTGAGCTACATCCCCAGCTCTCAGTAATGTTTTCAAGGGAATGAGTATAGGTAGATAAAAGAAGACACAGTGAAGAGCCGAGCCCTAGGATGTGCTGACATTAAGAGTAGAAGGAAGAAAAGGAATCTTCAAAGAAGACTTAAAAGGAAGGAGCAGTCAGTGATGTAGGACATAAACCTAGAGGATGTCTTGGTAGCTCCAGGAAAGAAAGTAAACCACACAGGAGGGAGTGGTCAACTGTTAAGAGTTAGCTGATAGGTTAGGTAGGACAAATTAGAATTGAAAATGATTAACAGTGTGAAGGGCATTGGTTTTGGGGCCTTCAGTAGAAAATGGCCAGATAAAAACTGCACATGTTTTAAATGGGAATTTTTGATATTTACAGTATCTCCTTTACCATGTTTAGGTTTGCTGTCCTATTGGTGGTATGTCTGACAGTGAATCACAGCTTGGTTCAATGGGTAGCCTGACCATGAAATCACAACTTCAAATCACTGGTAAGGTTTAAAAAGATCCACTATTTTACTCTTCCTATGCCTAAGATTAAAAATAATCTTAAAAAACGGCGAAAGCTTTAGTGGTTGTTGCATCTGATCCTGAATTAATGTTTGCTGAATGAATAAATGAGCAAAATGTTTGTGATATAAAAATAACATTTTTTTTCAGAGTATTCTTGAATATTTTTGCAGGTTTTTAAAAATTCAGTAAACACGGTGGGCATGGTCGTGCATGCCTGTAATCTCAGAAATTTGGAGGCTGAAGCAGGAGGATTGTTGCAAGTTCGAGACCAGCCTGGGCTACAAAGTGAGTTCAGGGCCAGCCCGGACTGCATAGTGAGACCTTGTCTCAAAAAGACCAAAAAAAAAAACAAAAAACAAAAGTCATTAAATGTGAGCATTGGTCAATTGCTGTTTTTCTGTATTAATACTCTTATTGAGGTCTGATTCTCATCTATACATTTATCCATTTAGAGTCAGTGTTTGTTAGTATATAAACAGTTGTGCAGCCATCACAACAGTTAATTTTGGGATACTTTTCATCATTCCAGAAAGAAACCTCATACGAATTAGCAATCACTCCCCACTTGTCCCAGCAACCCACAGGTCTAGACAATGACTTACTTTCTGTTTATAGATTTACCTATTCTGAATCTTTCATATAAATGGAATCATATAATTTGTGACCTTTTGTGTCTTCTTTCACTTAGCATAATGTTTTTAAGGTTGATACATGCTTTAGCACATATCAATACTTCATCCCTTTTTATTGTCAAATAATACTTCATTGTATGAATATACCATGTTTATTTATTAGTTGGTGGATATTTATATTGCTTTTACTTTATGGATATTGTGAGCAAGGCTGTGATAAATAATGCTGTGAGCATTTGTGCATATTTTTGTGAGAATATGTTTTCACTTTTTTTCGATATTCCGTCTAGGGATGGAATTGCTGCTGAGTCATACTGTATTCTTATTGAGCATTTTTTTTTTTCTTTTGGTACCGGGAATCAAACTCATGACCTTGCACTTGTCAGGCAGGTGCTGTGCCACTGAGCTAAATCCCCAGCCCCATATCAAGCATTTTGAGGAATTCCAAATTATTTTTCAAAGCAGACATACTATTTTGTGTCTCCCCCATCATTATATGAGTATTCCAATTTCCCTGCCTCCTTGCCAGTGCCTTCTACCTATGTTTTTGCTTATGGCCATGTTAATATGGGTATGAAGTATAGTAGCTTACTGTGGTTTTGACTTGCATTTTTCTGATGCTGAACACCAGAAATGTGGCTGGTGGTGTTGAACATTTTCATGTACTTCCTGTCTATTTGTATATCCTTTTTGGAGAAATAAATGTGTGAATCCTTTCTATTATTAATATGTCTGTCTTTGTTTATCCTTCTAACCATACTGTATACCACTTTCAGATTAATATTATTAATATGCCATATCATATGTTGCATTCTTGCTCAAAAACCTTCAGTGCTACTTTTGACTATGGTATAGAACTTTTTAGCCTCAACTAAGACCTTTCACAGTTTTTGTCTGTATGATCTCTTTGGAGCTGTTTATATGTTATAATATTGCCAGGTAGAGTCACTAGATTTTCTTCAAACATGCATGTACCTGTATCTCTATCACACAATAAAGCTCTAGACTCTTTTCCCTTTAATGTATCAGCATTATTGATTGCAGAAAAATTTTCACTCTCTACTTGTTATTTTAGTTTTTACGATACTGAATTTATATCTTCTCTTGGAGTGTGAATAAATTATGTTGCAGTTTGTAGTAATCGTTATCCTTTTCAAAACCTAAAGGTTATTGAGTTATACAGAAGTAATACTGTCTTAAAGTAACAGCATCCTAGAATTTTCTTTTAGAATTTCTTCACTAATGCTAATCACTTTTTTCATCAGCATGTGATCCTCAGTGAAAGACATTAATATTTCCTTGCTAAAGTCAGATTCTAATTGTCCCCTTCTTCCACATGCTAGGCTGATTTAAGTTGGGTGAGGCATCTTATGGATTTGGGGAGCAGAGCAGAGAGCTTCATGTTGAAATTTTTGATTGGAGCTGTCTTTTAAAGCTTTTTACTTTCCAGATTACATAAATGATACACATGCTTTTCAAATTTATATTTATTTAGTCTTTTTGAGACAAGGTACTTGAACATTTGGTATTATTGAGATGGAGTAAGATGGAAAAAAATCCTTTGGGGAGCATGTACAAGAGTCTTAAAATATACAAAACTCCTAAGCCCCCTAAAAGCCACTGCTGCAGTAGAGAGAACTACAAGAGTGACTAGGAATAGGTTATCTCCTTCAGGCGCCAGGGTTTAAAAGAAATTCATTGCTAAGGAAGATGAGAGGGAGATCTGATCATATGCACTGTGTATACATGCATTGATATCACATTGTATCTTATATATTTAATTATGTGTTGATTTAAAAAATTTGTTTGAAAAAGTCTGGCAAGGCATAGTGGCACATGCCTATAATCCAATCGCTGCACTCAGGAGGCTAAGGCAGGAGGATCACTGTGAAATTGAAATTGAGGTCTCAGTTACATAGTGAGTTCAAAGTCAGTCTGTACTACAAAACAAGATACTGTCTCAAAATAAAACAAATATAGTTTGAATTCTAAAAAGGTACCATGGGCAGATCATTTCTTTCCTTTTAGGCCCACATGGCTCTTGTTCTAGATTTAATCATTTTCATAGGTTGATGAGAGTCCTTGAAATACAGTAGATGTATGCTTAATTGTTTGGGTTCTCTATTTTCACAAATGTATTAAAATTAGAGATCTTCTGTTTTTTTGTGGCAATCCTACAATTAATTTTGTCTCTAAGTACTAGAATTTTATTTATTTTAATGCAGGAAAGATTTTTTTTTAAATCTCACAAGTATTAGAGTTTTATATGTGTAGTATATTTTAATCAGAGATAACCTGGTCTCTGGAAATATTTTTTGTTCTAGAAAAGACTGCCTACTTTTTCCATTTAAATGTCTCATCAGCATCTTTAGGTTTTATACATGCATTTTAATTTTTGGCGTCCATGCCCTTCTCAAACTTGTTCTTTACTGGATCTTTCATCTTTTTTGTCTTTTTGAGACAGGGTCTCATTGTGCAGTTTAGGCTGACCTTGAGCTCACTTTGTAGCCCAGGCTGGCCTCAAACTTGCAACGATCCCCCTGCCTCAGCCTCCCAAGTGCTGGGATTACAGGTGTGCACCACCACGTCCGGCTCATCTTATTAAATGATAGCATTTTTCAACTATTTATTTATGCCAGAAGCATTAGCTATGTTGGCTACCCTTAGAAAACATTTACTTCTTTCCATCCTTTCACCCTAGTCCAAACCCCTGTCATTTCGATTGAATAATTTCAAGAGCCATTTATCCTTTACTCTTGTTTCCTTTCGAATTTATTCTTCCCGTAACAACGATTTGTAGGAATATTTAAGTGTTAATCTGATAATCACTGTATCTGTATAGCCAAAATAGCATTTGATATCTGTTGTAGGCATCCAGTAAATTTGTTGAATAATACCCTCTTTATTTAAAATTCTTCAGTTGGCCTTATACCTATTTCTCTAGCCTTATTTCTTACAATACCACCCAAGTTTCTTTGATGATGCATAATACTTTTTTTTTCTTTCTTTCTTTCTTTTTTGGTATTTGGAATCAAACTCAGGACCTTGTGCTTGCTAGGCAGGTGCTTATGCCATTGAGCTATATTCTCGGCCCTGCATAATACTTTCAAATCTTACATTTAAAATATTTCAAAATAATGATGGTGCTCTAATTTATGGAATGTGTATATATTGTAAGAACAATCACCTTGCAGCTGACTTGGATGCCACAAAGACACATGCATAAAAGGACAGGGGTAGTATATGTGAAGTCAGAGATTCAGAGCCACCGTCTGGGAGTGTTCCCGTTCCATCCCCAGACTGTGTATTGACCTTCTTGTGTAGCAGCTCTGTAAACTTACATAGCATCTAACTCAATATGCGCTTTTCTCCCCACTCCTGTCTGCTTTTCCCTCCCTCCCTCCTTCTCTTCCTGTCTTTCTAGCTCCCTCCCTTCTCTGTTTTTCTTTCTCTTTTTTCTCTGTCTGCCTTCCTTCCCTCCATTCCTTTCTCCCTCCCTTCATTCCTTCCTTCTTTCCCTTCTACCTTCCCTCTTCTCTTTCTTTTTCCCTTTCCCATTTTGTTTCATTCAAGATCTTGTTTGTATAGCCCAGGCTGGCCTTGAGTTAATCCTCCTGCTTTAGCCTCCCAGGTGCTAGGATTATAGGCATGCTCCACAATGCCTATCCCTAAGATTTCTTTCTTTCTTTCTTTCTTTCTTTTTGTCCTTTTTGAGACAGGGTCCCTGCAATTCAGGTTGGCCTTGAACTCACAGTCTCCCGAGTGCTGGAATTACAGGCCTGTGCCACCACACCCAGCTCTAAGATTTCTTAACCTTAATGGGTACTGACATTCTGTGAACTTTGCTTGTAGGAGTCATTATTATGGTGGTAGGCCACTTGGTTGGCTCTGACTGTGGGGGAGCAGTGAGTTGCCACCTGTGAGAATTGTAAGATGCTATGCAAGATTCTAATGTCTTATACCTTCCATCAATGCTTAGAAAAGGCTATTTTATTGCAAAAGTGACTAAAGAGTGAAATCTAAGGGGTCCACATCTAAAGATATGCAACTTGGAAAATCTTGCTTATATTATGTAATACTAAAAAAAAATCTTAGTTTGTAATTTTCTTCTGCCAGTGGCTTTCCAACACAGTAAATTCCAAATTTCTTATCAAAGGAAATGAGGTTTACAGAAGCTCACTTTTTTTGAGGGGGAGGGTCTTCTTGAGCCAGGGTCTCCCAATGCAGTTCAGGCTGGCCTTGAGCTCGCTTTGTAGCCCAGGCTGGTGTCAAACTTGCAACGATTCTTGTCTCAGTCTCCCAAGTGCTGGCATTACAGGTGTGTGCCACCACACACAGCTTCACTT